TCACAAATCATTGAGATTACAGGTTTGTGCCTCCATATCCAGCTAAAGGTAGCTATTTAATATAATAGCTATTATTTATTAAGCTCTTTTTTAAAAATATTTTTTGGTTGTAGATAGACACAATACCTTTATTTATTTTTATGTGGTGCTGAAGATCGAACCCAGTGCCTCACACTTGCAAGGCATGTGCTCTACCACTGAGCCACAACTCCAGCCCCTATTAAGCTCTTAACTTAGTTAAGTCTCCTTAATTACATTAAATTTCAGATGAGTTTATATGTGCTAGTTTATTCCCCCATCAAACCTTCCAAGTTTTCCCTTAGCTTCATATCAGTGAAGGTTGCCTCAAGACAAGATTTATCTTTCATCTCTACCTACCCTGTTATTCATTTCTGCACTTTATATAACCTTCTCCCCTTCTTTTGATACCTCACTCATTCCTCCCTGATGGTAATTACTAGACCACTAGATTATTCAGTACTAGATAACACATTTATTATTCCCAGTACACAACAAAAGTTGTCAACAAATCTTAGAGAATAGATTTGAGGGTTGGGAGCGTAGCTAAATGGTAGAGCACATGCTTAGTATGTCAAAGGCCATAGGTTTGATCCCCAGCAACCACCCCCTGCAAAGGTAAAAAGTAAAGGAATACTTTGGCTGTATATAAAGTATACATGGGAAAATTACTGAAACCCAAAGCCCAGAGGTTAGAGCCAAGGGGAAATCAATAAAATTGATAAACCTCTAACTAAATTAATGAAGGATCAGGAAGGGGAAAAAAAAAAGATAAAGATAACAAGCCAAGCCACATGGGGCATGTCTGTAGTCCCAGCTACTCAGGAAACTCAGGCAGGAGGAGCACTTGAGTCCAGGAGTTCAAGGCCAACCTGAGCAACATAGCAAGATTCTATCTCCAAAAAAAAAAGTGTGTGTGTACACACATACACAAATACATACACACACACACACACAAATTACCAAAATAAAAAATGAGAAAGGGGATATAACTTCAAAAGAATAAAAAATGAACATGATAAACAACTTTATGTTAATAAATTTTAAAACAGATGAACACAAATTATCAAAACTAATACATGAAGAAAGAGAAACTCTGGTCTTACAACAATTTTTAATTTTTTTAAAAAAATATTTATTTTTAAGTTTTAGGTGGACACAGTATCTTTATTTTACATTTATGTGGTGCTGAGGATTGAACTCAGTGCCTCGTGCATGCTAGGCAAGCACTCTACCACTGAACCACAACCCCAGCCCCTTACAACAATTTTTAAAAGTTAAATGTATAATAAAGAACCTTCCCATAAAATTAACTCCTGGCCCCAGATGGTTTCTATGGTGGGTGGAAGGAAGGAAGGAAGGAAGGAAGGAAGGAAGGAAGGAAGGAAGGAAGGAAGGAAGGAAGGAAGGAAAGAAAAAAGTTCTACCTAAGCTTTCAGAAAATAGGAGAAGAAAATGGTTTCCAACTTAGTACATGATGCCAACATTACCCTGAAACTAAAATTAGATACACTTTACAAGAAAACTACAAATCTCCTTCTGAGCATAATGCAAACTATGAATACCCTCTTCTGAACACAATGTAAAAACTGTGAACAAAATCTCAGCAAATCAAATGTACCAATATATAAAGTGAACAAGATAAATACTATACCACCAGGAGTGCAAGGTTGGTTTAACATTCAGAAATCAATCAAGGTAATTCATCTTTCCTATTTTTATTTTTTTGGTACCTGGGATTGAACTCAGGGGTGCTTAAACTACTGAGCCACATCCCAAGCCCATTTTATTTATTTAAATATTTTTTTTTTAGTTGTACTTGGACACAATGCCTTTATTTATTTTTTTTAATGTGGTGCTTAGGATCAAACACAGGGCTTCGCACGTGCTAGGTGAGAGCTCTACCGCTGAGCCACAACCCCAGCCCCTTACTTTATTCTTTTGAGACAGGGTCTTGTTAAGTTGCTAAAGCTGGCTTTGAACTTGCAATCCTCTTGCCTCAGCCTCCCAAGCCACTGGGATTACAGACATGTGACACCATGCCTGGCTATAATTCACCATTTTAAAAAACAAACAACAACAAAAAAAAGTCATATGACCACCTTGATAGAAGTAGAAAAACGCAATGAAACTTAGAACCCACCATTCATGTTCACCTGTCTGACAAGTATGCCTGAGTCTGTGTCCAATTCATAAAACATCAGAGTTAAAATGCTTCAAAAAACAACTGTAAGGCCATTATACAAACAAATATATCACAGAGTATGGAGGGAAAAGAAAAATTTCAATCAGGGACTGTGTATATTTTTAATAAATTAATTTGTTTGGTAAAAAATCATAGCTACATCTATGTGGCAAGTACCTGTATGTGCTCATTTTTGTATATATATTCATTTATATCTGCAGCATAAACTGAACATCAAACTGAGATGTCTAATTTGAGGTGAAAACTGAGTTTCTAATATTGTTATATAAATGGTTCATAAGAAAAGTGAATTTATATATTTTAAGATTTTTGTGTACTTAAATATAATTTTTTTTTTTTTGAGACAGGGTCTAACTTTGTTGCTCAGAATGGTTACAAACTTTTGGGCTTAAGAGATCCTCCTGCCTCAGCCTTCCAAGTGCTGGGACTACCTAGCTTTAAGACCAAAAAAAAAAAGTTTTGTGTTAATTTATTCAAAACACACACACACACACACACACACAAAACAAACGAACAACTCCACACACAACATTTTTTATTTTCCAGTACTGGGGATTTAACCTAGGGGTGCTTTATCACTGAGTTACATTCCTTAGCTCTCTTTGAGACAAGGTTTTGCTAAATTGCTGAAACAGCATCAAACTTGTGATCCTCCTGCATTGCTGAGATAACAGACATGCACAACTATGCCTAGCTAAGACAAAAATTTTTGAAGACAATTTCTGAAACATTCTTTTCTAAGTGTCATAATTGTAACTATGTGTAAACCAAATACATAAGTGTTCAACTTGATCTCTCCTTCCCATTCACTACTCCTTTTTTTTTTTATTTTTTTTTTTTTCAGTTTTAGATGGACAAAACACCTTCACTTTATTTTTGATGTGGTGCTGAGGATAGAACCCGGTGCCTTCCACATGCAAGGCAAGTGCTCTGCCACTGAGCTACAACCTTAGCTCCCCCACTCACTACTTCTTAAGTGAGATATTTATCAGATTACAAATACTTAAGTTCTAAAGAGAGATAACTACTGCCTAATTTACTATTTCAATTATATCTCAGAAACAGAAGGGAAAAATAGCACAGTGCTAGCATCTCCAAGGGTTAGGTGAATAAAACTAATCTAGTTTTTAAGAAACCTTTTTACAAGAATGCAGTCACTTCAATGGAATATAAAAACAATAACATGTTAGAGATAGTGGATATAGCTCAGAGGCACAGTGCTTGCTTAGCAGGTATAAGGCTCTGGGTTTGATCCCCAGCACTGCAAAAATATTAAAATAAAAATTTAAAAACACCAAAAACCTAAAATGAGATGTTAAAATTTTTCAAATGATAATAATTTACCTTTATGTCCAAGAGACACAAAATTTCATCTCTGAAGAACAAATTAATAAAGTAAAACCCCAAAATGTCCAAATATATTTATTAATGTATAACTTTACCAAATCATTTTTTACCAGGGTCTCTAAAATAATTTAGAACTTGATCTACCTATCTGGTTCAAGCTCATGAACCAAAATCTCAAGCATATAGGATTTCAATATGCACAAATCTCAATGAGAACAGTTCAACGATGAGAGTTTCTGCCAGCCAAATATATAATTAAGTCAACATATGTTTATTGGATTGCCCCCCATGGACCCACTGCCTCAAATCAGAAATAGCAGTTCTTAAGCAATAAGAAGTTATTACTCACCAGCAAGGGTGTAATCCATATCAAAACCGAAACATTTTATTTTTTCCATGGCTAAACTTCGGTTCACAAATACCCTATAGAAAAAGAGACAAAAAGAAAAAAGAAAATTAATACTGGGGAAGGAATTCTTAAGTTTAATTAAGTTATTTGGCTATTTTTCTAGATTTCTCATTTATTATTTTTCTTTTTATTGTATAGATTTAACGTTTAACATGTTTCTTTGTGTGTTGTTTTTTGAGAAGTAGTGGGGATCAAACTCAGAGGTGCTTTACCACTGAGCAACATTCCCAGCCCTTTCCATTTTCTGTTTAGAGACAGGGTCTTGCTAAACTGCCTAAGATGGTCTTGAACTTGAGCAGCTGAGATTATAGGTATGTGCCATTGTGCCATTGATATTTTGGTTATTTACACACTTGTGAAATATGCTGAAATGAATATAGAAATGAAGATATTTTTGCAAGGTGATTATTTCACTTCCTTTGGGCATATTGCCTGAATAACATGATGTTTTGATGTTTACTTTGATATACATAGACACAGTGATTACTAGAGTCAAGCATATAGTTTTCTATCCTTCTTCCCTTCGATGGTAAGAGTACCAAAAATCTACTCTCTTGACAATATACCACATAATTAGCTATAATACTCATGTTGTACATTAGATCTCTTAATATTTACCCTACAGAACTGCAACTATGCATTCTTTGATCTGTATCTTTCCATCACCAACCACTGTTTTACTGTTTCTATGAATTCAGTTTTTTTAAGGTTCCATGTATAAATGAGCTCAGGTATTGTTTTTCTTTCTGTGTCTGGCTTATTTCTCTTAGCACAGCAAAGTATCCTCTATGCTCATCCATGTTGTTTGAAATGATAGATATCCTTTTTTTTAATTACTTATTCATTCTAATTTGTTATACATGATGGCAGAATGCAATTCATTTCATATTACATGTACAGAGCACAATTTTTCAAGTCACTGATTGTACACAAAGTATTTTCATACCATTTGTAGCTTCATACGTGTACTTAGGGTAATGATGTCTAACTCATTCCACCATCATTCCTACCCCCTTGCCCCCTCCTTTCCCCTCCCTCCTCTTTGCCCTATCTAAAGTTCCTCCATTTGCCCAAGCTCCACCCCACCATCACCATTATGAGTCAGCATCTTCATATCAAAGAAAACATTTGGCCTTTGGTTTTTTGGGATTGGCTTGCTTCACTCCAAATTCATCCATTTATTTACCTGCAAATGCCATGATTTTATTCTTTCTAATGTTGAGTAATGTTCCATTGTGTGTGTGTGTATGTATATGTATATTTATACATACACACACACACACACACACACACCAAAATTTCCCTATCCATTCATCTACTGAAGGACATCTAGATTGTTCCATAATTTAGTTATTGTGAATGGGTGCTACTATAAACATTGATATGGCTGTGTCCCTGTAGTAAGCTGATTTTAAGTCCTTTGGGTATGAACAGAGGAGTGGGATAGCCAGGTCAAATGGTGGTTCCATTCGCAGTTTCCCAAGGAATCTTCACACTGCTTTTCAGATTGGCTGCACCAATTTGCAGTCCCACCAGCAATGTATGAGAGTGCCTTTTTTTCCCACATCCTTGTTTGTATTATTGTTTGTATTCTTGATAGCTGCCATTCTGACTAGAGTGAGATATTGCATGTTTTTTCATGTTTGTTAATTGATTGTATATTCTCTTCTGAGAAGTGTCCAGTTCCTTGGCCCATTTATTGATTGGGATATATATATATATTTTGGTATTAAGGTTTTAAGTGCTTTATATTACCTAGAGATTAGTGCTCTATGTGATGTGCTTGTGGTAAAGATTTGCTCCCATTCTGTAGGCTCTCTATTCACCTCACTGATTGTTTCTTTTGCTGAGAAGAAGCTTTTTAGTTTGAATCCATCCCATTTATTGACTCTTGGTTTTAATTCTTGCGCTACAGGAGTCTTATAAAGTTGTGGCCTAATCCAACACGATGGAGATCTGGGACTACTTTTTCTTCCATCAGGCACAAGGTCTCTGATTTAATCCTAGGTCCTTGATCCACTTTGAGTTTTTGTGCATGGTGAGAGATAGGGCTTTAATTTCATTTTGTTACATGTGGATTTCCAGTTTTCCCAGTACCATTTGTCGAAGAGGTTATCTTTTCTCCAACGTACATTTTTGGTGCCTTTGTGTACTTTTGTGTACAAGCACTCCATCACTGAGCTAAAACCCCAGTCCATGAGTTTATTTTTGACATAAGATAACTGTAATTATGATAGAATGTCCTTTCTGAAAGCTAAATAATATTTGTTTCTGTGTTTGCATTTCTATATCCATTCACTCATGGATGGATATTTTGGTTATTTCCACATCTTATGAATAATGCTGAAATGAACATGGAAAGGAAGATATTTTTGCAAGGTGATGATTTCACTTCCTTTGGGCATATTGCCATGACAGGGATTGATGGTTCATACTGTAGTTATATTTTTAATTTCTTTAGAAAACCTTTATATTGGGGGCTGGGGATGTGGCTCAAGCGGTAGCGCGCTCGCCTGGTATGCATGCGGCCTGGGTTCGATCCTCAGCACCACATACCAACAAAGATGTTGTGTCCACCGAGAACTAAAAAATAAATATTTAAAATTCTCTCTCTCTCTCCTCTCTCACTCTCTCTTTAAAAAAAAAAAAGAAAGAAAACCTTTATAGTGTTTTCCATTGTGGTTGCACCAATTTACATTCCCATCAACAGTGTTCAAGGCTTTCTCTTTCTCTACACACTTGGCAATATTTGTCTTTTTGATCAAAGTCATTCTAATAAGTGTCAGATGATATCCTGTTATGATTTTAATTTGTGTTTCCCCAGTGATGAGTATTTTTGAGCACCTTTTCATATATCGGTTGGCCATCTGTATGTCTTGTTGGGAGAAGTATCTAATCAGGTCCTTTGCTCATTTTTCTTCTTCTTCTTCTTCTTTTTTTTTTCTTTTTTCTTTTTTTGGTAGCAGGGATTGAACTCAGGGGCACTCAACCACTGAACCACATTCCCCAGCCCTATTTTGAATTTTATTTAGAGACAGGATCTCACTGAGTTTCTTAGCATTTCATCATTGCTGAGGCTGGCTTTTTTGAATTTTTGATCTTCATGTCTCAGCCTCCCAAGACGCTGGGATTACACGTGTGCACCATCACGCCAGGCTCATTCCTTCACCCATTTTTAAACTGGGTTAGTCTTTATTTTAGCTGTTGAGTTCCCTATATGTTCTGTGTATCAACCCCTTACCAGATAGAGGGTTTACAAATATTTTCTCTCAATTCATATCCTGCCTTTTCATTTTGTTGTTTCCTTTGCTGCAAAGAAGCTTTTCAGTTTGAGATAGCCCCAGTTATCTACTTTTGCTGCCTATGTTTTTAGTGTTCTATTAAAAAAAAAAAAAAATCACTGCAAAACCAATGCCAAGGAGCTTTCCCCAGTTTTCTTCTAGATCTTCTCAATTAAATGTCAGTATTAAGATTTATAATAGGGCTAGGATTGTGACTCCAGTGGTAGAGCGCTTGCCCTCGCACGAGCAGGACCCGGGTTTGATCCTCAGCACCACATAAAAATAAAGGCATTGTGTTATGTTCATCTATACCTAAAAAATAAATATTTTTAAAAAGATTTATAATAAAAATTATTAAGAGTCCTTTTATATAAGTGAAATCAGCTATTACCCAAAAACACATGATTGCATCCTGCCACTAATAATGCCACATTCTCAAAATTTCAAGGACAAGGCTCTCTTTTTTAATGTCAGGCCCCTAAAATGAGATGTGTTTTTTTAATTTTTTTTTTTAGTTGATATATGTGCTGTGATTTGAACCCAGTGCCTCACAGATGCTAGGCAAGCACTCTATCACTGAGCTAAAACCCCAGTCCATGAGTTTATTTTTGACATTTTACAATTCATTACTTATAAAATAACAAGAAGAAGAGAGAACCAGCTATTTAGAAAGGTCAAAGAGATGTTTTGAGTTATATCTATAGAAGTTTATTAGCAGGACAAAAGAAAAAAGAATGCAAGCAAGAAAAGTTTCCAGTCAACTTCAAATCATTTATCGTGGCTGGAGTTTTCTTTAATTAAAAGAGCTTTCTTAGCATAAGAAACAAATTTGATAGCTATTATGATGGTAGATTCTGCATCATTTTAGTAAAAATAGGTCATGGTAAAAAAAAAGAGCTTTGTTTTTATGGAAGGACATTTTATGGAGAAACAGGGGTAGTGGAAAGAACAATAAATGTTATGAAGTATAAAAGGGTTAGCAGCATCAAAATCTTAAAAGCTTTATTTGTCATATTATAGAGAATGGACTTTATCCTCCAAGAAAGAAATTATCAGATTTTGAAGAAATGAAATAAATTCAAATTTCAGAACGACAGGGCTAGGGACATAGCTTAGTGGTACAGTGTTTGCTTACCATGTGGAAGGCCCTGAGTTCAAAAAACAAACAAACAAACAAACAAAAACCCTCAAAATCCACAAGAATGTGAAGATATGGGGGAAAGTAGACATATCCTAGTATAACAGATATCACCATGATTGTCTTTGGGGGCATGTTTTAATTGTCTTTGAAAATAAGATACCCTAGCCTAGTCCATCTGATCTCCAAATTAATGGCCAAAATTAAAACTGGATGGTTTATCCTCTCTTATTACCAAACTTTTTTTTTTTTGCCTTCACTTCATAAGTACCTGTGAGAAATAAGATTGACACAAATCAACTTTAGTGTTTGTCAAAATCATTATTATTTGTGGAAATTGTAAAAAATATTTAAAGCTATCTAGGCTATGCTCCCCATTACAATTTAGATCAATAATCTCCAAAGAGTAGTAACTGCACCAGGGGATGAAAAAGACACCACTGAGATAAAATAAGAAAATATAAGATCTTACTAATGACATTTACTTATAACTTTAAAATGTCTCATTTCTTTTATATTATATAAAAATAAAGATAGTAGTATAGATAACTTATAAATATGCACATACAGGAATGAATGCTCCATCTTTTAACTG